TAAAATTGCATTAGATATGGCAATTTCGTAACATAACTTTTTTTTTAAAGAATTACCACATTGTTGAGTTGGAGTAAAAAGAAAATAAAAGATATTGTCAATTAGATTCTATCTTTTAACTTGGTTAATAACAGTTTTTTTTTTTCAAGTATCCACTATACTTGACATCTTTTTTTTACCTTCATCTATATTAGAAATTAAAAAGGATTCCATAGAAGTATATAATTTAATAATGGAATTAATAAATCGTAATTTTACAGTTTATTCTATAAAAAAATCCTTATTCATAACAAGTTCGAAAAGAAATTGCTTATCCGCGAAGAGTGGTGTTGCCGACAAATAGACGTGGCGGAGTTTTATTTCTTGTAATTAAAAAAAACAAGGGGACAGAAAAAGCACAACATTGATAAATATTTTTGACTCAAGTTTTAATGAGATAATGGTGAAGTAATATAAAAGCCCATAAAATATCTTGGAGATAAATATATTTTGACATAATTCCATTTTTGTATAGAAATTAATTTAGGAATCTAATATTTTTGAGAAATATATTTGTATTTGCTAGATATATTATCTAAAAATTATTTCGTTTTTATTATGAATTCTTATAAACTAAAAAGATTTCTCTTTTTGTATCTGAAAAAGAACTTAGAATTGGTGACATAAAAGTGAAATTTTGTGAAACTCTTAAAAACTTTTTTAAATCAAAAACGGAATAGAAAAAAATACATGTCATAATTCGAAGATTTAAAATAAATTATTTCTTTTTGTATTCACTATGCTGTATTGTTGTTCATATGTTCATATGTTCATATTGTTCATTTGAACTTTATGTAAACAAAAATCGAGACTTAAGACTCTTGAGTAATTGATATGAATATAACGTCATAATATCGCGACGCTATTGGAACGCGATGCGCGATGCTGTTGTGATGTCATAGGCGAGAAACAACACAGTAAAGTTTATTGCAACTAATTTGCAAAGAAATAGATATTTGATTAAAACGACGGTTTGAGGTGTTTGAGGTCTTTAAGACACTTGTGAAAATGGACGGCTGCTATCATTTCCCTTTCTGATAGTCAATAAATAAGCAAAAGTCAATAAATAAGTAAAAAAAGGCACGTAAAATGAAACCTGTTCAGGCAGAAAACACACGATTCGACAAAGACTGTTGAAAGAAGTGAAAAATATATTTTATATATAAAGTTCAAAGGTAACTTTAGCTGCCGTCCATTTTTACGAATTTGATAAATACGAAACAAGTCACATCTGCATGATTAAGCACATAATAACAAAATTAGTTGCAATAAAAAAATTCGTTGTTCACACGTAATATAAAGATGAACAAGGACAAGAATAAGATGAACAAGGATGAATGGGCTTCTAATTTTTATCACGACGGTGTATCACTATTGTCAACGCGGAGTTCTTAATTGAGTATTCATCAAGAAATTTGTTAAAATAATTAAAAAGCGGAAAAAGGTAGATTGT